AAAAAAAAAAGGTAAATGACCTCGGAGGAAATATACAACGTAAAATTCGCATTTTCTTTGTTTACCAAGTGCATCGAGATGCTATGGGAAAATACTTGGACCAAATATCGAACGTGCATGTGTCCGTGTATATGCAATATGGGACATCCAAAGGCAATTAAGCACAGGGAGATTTCTCTCAACGTTCACACAGAGATCCAACGTGACACGTCCGTCTTTCTCTCTCGCTAATTCCATTTAACTAATCAGCTCGAGAAATGAAGAACCCAAAGAATTCAACCTGTTAGCGATCACTTAACGTCGACTTGATATTCGAACGTAGTTCATTCTCTCATGCCACGAAGATTAAAGCGAATAACGAATTGAACTGAAATTACGAACGATGTTATCAAACGAATACGATCAACGATAAAAGAATCATGAAAGGTTCAAACCCGATAAGACGAAAGATTGAATGAATGAATGAACGGATAAAAAAGACAACGTATATTCCATAAAGAAAATAATTACATAACCGTAAAACCAACCAGACTGAAACTTGGCGGCAGACGCGGACCGGTGTGTCATTAAAAGTTTTATTTAATTCAATCGTTCCGATATTCTTATTAAAAACTCGAATGAATTCAAATTGAAATGAAAAGGTTTTGCCTTTAAATGTGTCCCAATGCGATCTCGTTACTTAGAATATTATCGAAAAATGTTCAACGTTAGCAAATATTTGTTAAAGAAGGAAAGGCTCCCTTTTTTTCTTTTTTTATTGACCTTGGCCATTAGTCGTGTTTTTTAAAATAAAAAAAAAGCTAATTTTATCAAAGAATCAGCAGCAAGCACCGATTTGATTCTATTGATTCGGTATACGCATGGCCTACAAACGAGTAACTTTAGAAATTTATACTGATTCGCCAAATTATCAGAAGCGATTATACAAATATTAACATTGTCAATAGAATTCGTTTATAATTCTTTATCCGGAAACGAAAACTTCGTGTAATACGACGCCATATCGAATATAATCTGGCGTTTATACAAAATAATTTATCTACATTAAAAAAACTTGGATATTAAAAATCATTCCAAATGATTATATTTTTTGTTTCTGATCGATTATCAATTAATAAACGTTCATCCATTGTTTTCCTCGTATTTCTCGAATAATAAAAATCAATCGTTCATGTTCCTCCATTATTTTCATAATAAACAAATTTAATTCATTCAACAGCATGTCTCTCAACTCGTTCAAAAAAAAAAAAACGATGTTTATACAAATCCGTAATGGCAATAAATTATAAAACGACTTTTTTTTTTATCGTTGATTTGGGTACATATAGTTGTACAATGATCGAAAGATATCGAACATGTGCGATAAAGCAAATCGATTATCTATATATTAATAAGATCTATGGCATACAGAAATGATCTCTATCTAACAATAAGTCAAAATTAGTTAAACTGATGGAAAAATAAAGAATTATTAATAATTATATTAATCAATTACAAATGTTAGAAAATTTTCAATCGAATACCGTCAATCGTTTTATTCTTTTCCAATATTTTTACTCAGCGAGCGCTATTGTTTCTCAACATAATAAAAGTTCATTCATTAAATGCAACACGTTTTAAGATCTTTTTGATTTCAAAGTTTAAGCACAAAAATATCATTTGATAAAATGGATCATATACTAAAGAATATAAAAGAATTATATTTTACAGACTATTTGAAAGTGTTCTTCGGGAGATTCTTCTTAACGTATTATTTCTCAATGATAGAAATTTTTTATCTAAAAGCTCATGATCTCTTACCAAAGAAACTCATGAAATGAATCATCGATAAGCCTAAGTCGAGTTATTTTCAATACAGATATCATAAAAAACAATATTTACACTATATAAATCAATGATAATTCAAAAGATTATGTCATAAGATAGAAAAAGTGCAACAGAGCATCATTCACGAATGAAAGTACTAGGACTACCAAACATTTTTCTCTCTCCTTTTTTTTTTCTTTTTTTTTTCAATATTCCTCTCGCACGTACATAAAAGCCAATAAGGCAACAAATGGATCGATGTAACCAGCAGTTTCTCTCCCTTATCCTGAGAATATATCGGTGCTCTACATCGTAAGTTCTTTCTTTTCCTTCCTTGTTACGAACACCTGCTTGATATTTATTTATGTTCGAAGAAAAATCATGTGAAACGAACTAACATAAGATGAGAGTATAGGCAAGATCTTCTTTCGTTTAGAGTTTCTTTTTTTATAATAGATATACGATTAGATTACTTACAAATAATCATTCTGCGATATCTATCATTTGATACGTTATTTTCAAATAAAAAAAAAAAAAATACATTAAAATGTGCCTGTACGAATAAGTAGTTTATTTTGAAAATTCCATGAGTCATTGTACTTAGGAATAAACGCTTAAAAAAACAAAACTGTACTAACCCTGAGAGATGGATTCCTTTTACCTATATTTTAATTATACAGTTAATTAACAAAACTTCATTCAACAAAATCTCAGTGATTTTTATCTTGTATTTTTAATCAAAAGAAACGGCTCAAAAATGTATGTGGCTTTTTTTAGCGTGACTTGTTTTAATAAATACAAAGCTAATTGTAAATACAAAATATATATTTATATAGTTCGAAAAAATGAGAAAGGTATTCAGCTCTTACATCGCAGGTATATACACATATACACATAGATATTATGTAAGATCGGAAAGCATTTGCGCGTTAACCATATCGATCCATCCGCATACCGTTGGAATTGGACCAAATCACGGACAATATCGATTCTCGAACCGGACGTAACTCTTTATACGCGTGATGCACATTAGGTCAGCTCGATTTAACGCGTCATCTTCCTACTTATATTTGACATACATTTATATAAACACACTGAAATAAAAAGGATGTTCTATCGATTATCCCGATGATTATTGATTCTTAAAACAACGAGAGTTTAAATCTTTAGATCATTAATGTCTTATCTTCGTCGACGATTTAAAACAATAATATCGATTATTATTTCTCGATTATCGAACACAAGCATAGATCCCATCGTTGCACACGTGATTCGCTGTTTGAATTTTCGCGCGCAAATTTAAACTACGAACGAGAGGAAGAAATTTGTTCCGACGAAATATTTATCGCATTCAAAGATACTTTTAATAGTGGACAAATAAAACATAGAGATTAATTAGTATTACATAGTAGAGAGTTACCGAATGGATGATATTTCAAAATGAGAAATAACTATCTGCGAAGAGAAGCCGATTACACAATTAGTAATGTGCATATCTCTCGCGAAAGTAGGACAACGCGCAAAGATAACACGGGTAACTGAATAGTCTTGAATCGTTTCTACCGTAATCATTACGTAAACGTTCCAGTAATTAGAGATCCATAGTAGAGTTGCGATAGAACGCAATTAGAAAAATTCTACAGTAGTCGTACAAGTTCAAGTCGTTACGTTGCATTTTAATTAATTGCAAATTCGGTCCATCTTTGTAAAATTACGTTTCATGGAATCTTGTATTGTTTCTTTTTTTATTTTACCAATCGTAAAATAACAAAATAAAACTATGAGAACCGATTGCAGATGATTGTGGATAAACGCATATCAAAGAAAAAAGCATAAACAGAAAAATAATATAAACGTAAATCGCTCTAAAAGATAGTCGAATCGCGAAAAGGAAGCATATGTTGAAACGAGTGTAAATTCGCTTACGAGATGGGGTCCATGGGCGGGTACATGAAGCACGTTTTACAGACTACTGTGCACGTGCGAGTTGTCTTCAGTGTCTCGACCTTTCCCTCTGTCTATCTATCTATCTATCTTTCTTTCTTTCTTTCTCTCTCCCTGTCTCTCCCTGTCTCTCTCGCTCTCTCTCTCTCTCTCTCTCTCCCTCTATATCTTTGCCCCTCTTTAACCTATTACCACCCACATCGCAAAAGTCGCGAGTTTTAAACAAGACCCTACATACAGGGTGTTTCAGGATTTTTTCCAACTAAACGGTGTTTTCAGTGTATTCTATCCACAAAAATAAGAGGATAAATCATTTTATTTATATATCATTTTAAAATTTTGTTGTTCAAAGTGCTAACCACCTACGCGAATGCAAGTCCGACATAGCTGTTAAACAAAATGAACTTGTTTTGCATAATTTTGAATGCGCATTCAAATAAAACATGAGAGATCCTGTGCTCTTTTGTGAGGAAATTAACGTTGAACTCGTCTCTCGCAGCGACCCGAGCATTTTCCGTCGCACAATTCATACACGTAACAAATGCCCACATATTTTCGGCATTTCGGTTGGTAATATTCAATGAAAAAATTTCAAGAGAACTGATATCTATTAGAATTCGCTAAATCGATTCGAAATAGTAAACATTAGAGATAAGCGTAGAAAAAGATAAATATAATCGACTGGAAACTTAGGGACAATCCCATTACTGACAATGTGAACATTTATAATGTGCATTATAACTTTTTAATGAAGCTATAAATGAACTATGTTAATATAATATTTTTTCTTATTTTCGTGGATAAAATACGTTTTACACCGTTTGACCAGAAAACCCTCAGACACCCTTCTATAGAGGGTGAGATGAAAATCGATTTTTCAAGAGATTCTTTGGGGGAAGTAATTTATTCATGTAATGATATGCGGTTACAATTAAAGTTTTGCACAAAAATGACAAAATTTGAAACAGTCGTTCCAAAACTTGGACAACAACCATTCAGTTGTATTTCGACCTTATGTAAATCAGTAATTAAACGATATGTATATTAAATATAATAGACACAAATTAATGGGAACAAACGAATACAAATGAACAAATATTAAAAATTAATAAATAAAAATAAAATTATTTTGAGGAAAGTGACTTTTATCTCAACCTGTATAGAGAAAAAAAGAAAGAGTAAGAAAATTTGGTCGTATTTCTTATCCTAACGTTGGTGTAAGTTAAAATAACGAAATGAAAGACTCATACCTGGGGAATGTTGGCGTAAATTTGACGATTAAGGGAGTCTCGTTCCTTTTCGAGTTCCCTGACTCTGGCTTCGGCTTCTTGGACTCGTTCTTGACACTCCCGCAACGAATCCATTAACTTGTCCCTTTCGTCCAACATCGAAACCATTAATTGTTCGAAGTTCGCATCCTCGCCAGAGAACTGCGAACTTCTTTGACTTATGCTGTCCTCCGCAATCGTTGGCATCACGTCACACATCGCACTCCACATTTTGATGTCGCTATTTCCTTTTTTTTTACTTTTCTCTCACCTCCTCCTCCTCCTCCTCCTCCTCTTTCACTTCCTCCTTTCTTCTCTCTTTTTACTCTTCGTTTACACGCCCGACAAATTTTCTCGGTACTTTAGCGTGCAAAAGAACAAATTACGATGACAATGACGATGACGACGATGATGACGACGACGACGACGACGGATAACAAAAACAATGACGATGACGACGGTAACAGCAGCAGCTACGATTTGTCGGTCGACGAAGTGTAGGTAACGAACGAACACACACGACACTACTACACTTTATAAAGGAACACACGTGCGCGAAAGCGAAAGACAGTAAAAAAAAAAAGAGAGATAGTGGTATATAGATAGATGGATAGATAGATAGATAAAGATAACAAAAGAGATAGAGAGAAAGAGAGAAAGACAGAAAGAAAGAGAGAGAGCGAGCGAGAGAGAGTAGCGACGTGCAAAAATGAAGAGAATATACCGGCTGCTTTTCTTTCACCCCTTGCACTTTTTCTTCCTCTCTTTCTCACTCACATACACACAACACGCACTCTATTCCACTCTACCGTACGTCGTCGTCGTCTTCTTTTCTCTTCCTCTTCTTCTTCTTCTCTTCGTCTTCTTCTTCTACTCCTGCTCCTTCTTCCTCCTACCCTCTCACTTAATCATTTTCCTTGGTCTTCGCTTCCTTCGTCCACGATTTTTCGTAGGATCAACCAAATTGAACGACATTCAAACAAAAAAAAATAAAGAAATAAATAAAAAAGGAAAAGATGTAAAAATATGAAAAAGGAGAAGAGGACGTAAACCTCTCCCGCGGAAGAAGCGACGGTGACTGCTGGTAGGCGAAGCGCGAAGAGGCGCGCACGGAAGTCGCCGGCCCTCTGACGGCGCACTTGCAAACCTTCTGACCACTGTCCTAAAGTTTAGCGACGTTCGTTTCACTGAAAACAGTAGCCGCCGGTTTGATGACTTTTACTCTAACTATTTTCTACCAAAGAAATTTGTATCGTAGACGAACGAATCATTGAAACATTATTCCCAATGATGATGACGATGACGACGATGAACGAACACAACTGTTCATGCTCATATCCGATATATGCAATAAGGGCCACTGAATCCTTTTCCTTTCTCTTATTTTCCTTTTAATCCTTGTTCCCTGTACACCCAATTTCTTGTCTTCCTTCGCTTCTTCTCTCTTGCAATCATAAAAACGGACTATAGCAGAATTGGACCACTCAAAATAGAGATTCGTTCTGGTTCGTTCGTTCGTTCTCTTTTCGTTAGAATCGATCGCACAAAAGTAAAACTCGACGAATAAGAACGATAATGGAGCACGCTTTCTTCCACGCTATTAAAACTTTTTACGGAGCACCAGCCACCGTTCTGTATTTGCCCTTTTTCATTTGTTCACTTCTCCACTCCTACCTTTTTTATATTCACTAATATTTTTGCGCTACTATTATTTTATTCATGTGTCATTGGACAGTAGCAAACTCGATATCTCTTTCTCTCTCGATCTTCGTTGATGTCCAATCAACGAGGACCTTAGCCCAGAATAGAAAACAGCGATGGTGATAATGAAAATTAAAGGGAAAATAAGCAGCAATTTTTTTGCCCTTTTTCCCTGTTCCTCCTACTCCTCCTTTTGGTTTCATTCAGATAGTTACAGTTTTTCTTACGTACATAATTCTCCAAAAACGATTAATTCGAAAAAGGGTGAGAGAGAAAGAGAAAGAGAGAGAGAGAGAGAGAGAGAGAAAAAGAGGTTTCGTTTTTTTCTTCCTTATAGAAACTTCAATATGCTTGCGTTCGATTGCCTCGGTGAGGACGAACAAGAAAGGAAAGAGAGAGAAAACGAGAGTTGTAGCAAAAGAGAAAATTGTTAGCACTCGTTCCTCTTTTAATCTTTCTTTGACGAATGAGTTTTATCTCTCTCTCTCTCTCTCTCTTTCTTTCTTTCTTTCTTTCTTTCTTTCTTTTTTTCTTTCTTTCTTTCTTTCTTTCTTCCTTCTGACGGTCAGTCCTTCGTAGTTACACGTATTTTTTAGTTTTGTTCACCGTCCAAGAGATGCTCGAAGAAATGTAAATGGTAATCGCGACTCAGGACACTGGGAGTCGCGCGAGTCTACGTGTGAATCTCGGCATCCCGATGACAACAGCATTATCGCGGGGAAGACCGAACACTGACACACCTACGCCGCTCGATTCCAATTATTCTTCCCCTCCCCCGCGCTTTCTCTCACACTCTCTTACTCTCTCTCTCTCTCTCTCTCTCTTACTCACTCTTCCTGTCTCTATCTTTCTCTCTTTCTTTCTATTTTTCTTTCTCTTTCTCTCTCTCTTCCTCCCTTTTTCTTTCTTTCTCTCTTACTCTACATCAATTTCGGTTTTACAATTCCCCACCCTTAAGCCTATCGTTTCGCTCGTGATCCTTATTCGATGTGCTGTGGCCCAGAGACAGTGGCCATTTTGTATCTGACGTCATCCAACGACATTGATACGGTACTCGTCACTGGTCTGATCACACAAATAGGAACGAGCGCCCTCCTAATGGATGATTTTCATTCAATATATTGCGATCTTGAACTACTTTCATAAACATGCATATATAGAAATATTTCATTAAATATTATTATTCAATTCAACGGTATTTGCTTAATTGTTAAATTACGTATTTGAAAAGCACGTATATTAGATGGTAATGCTATTTGATTCAACCAATCATAGTCAACTAATTGTTAACCAATCGTATTAAAATAATTTACTACCTCGAAGCTGATTCGCTTACATGAAATACATTATGCACGTATGATTGCAACCATTGCAACCATTGCAACCATTTTGCAATTATTTAAAATTAAGTTCTATGATTGGTTAGTGATATTTGGTACTGTTAAATTTAACATTTGAAAAACACGTATATTAAATGTGTAATGCTATTCGATTCGACCTATCCTAGGTAATGCATTATTGACCAATCGTATTGAAATGATTTACCAACTCGAAGCTGATTCGTTTTTGTGAAATACATTACGCACATATAATTACATAATTGCAATTATTGCAACCATTTTACAATTATTTGTTAGGTTCTACCATTGGTTACATTTATTTGACTCATATTGCGAATTAAGAGAAATTATGAGAGCTTATTTACGATGTAGAATTTACGATCCAAGTTTGAAATTCGATAACGTTTTATCGAATTGTTATCGCTATTATGCTATATTTCAGATAACAAGGTGATACACTTTTTAATATTACTCTTTAATTTCCAAAAATATTTTTGATATAATTTCTATTATTTTTTCTAGACCAAATGTTTCATGTTAATTATAAATATTTATATGAAGATATTTCAAAGGGAAATGTTGCCGAAACAGAATATGTTTCTAAAGTAAATTAATAGACATATTTATACTAAATTCAATGTAATAATAAAAAAAGATGCGTGTATTTAAATACGTTACGCCGATGGATCAACTGCGCGCCACTTTCTGAAGAGAGAATCGCGCTACACCGTAATGCTGTGATCAATATCGGTGTTGCGTCTCGGCCTCCTCTGGACCATCATCAAATGCTAGACGGATTTGAAAATAGAAAAAAGAAAGGCGAGATGAAAGCCGTAACGCATACTTGTACATCAAGAAGTGGTAAGTATGGGTACATAATCAAATAAATTTTATCCAATAAATGTATTCCTATTTTATGTGTTTTCTTAATAAACTACATATTAAAATTTCTCTGAACGTTTAACGTTGTCTTACTTTACCCACAGTTTTTTTACTAGCATATTACAAGTCCTCGCATTTTATTTTATACGTTTAGTAAATGTGTTTTATAAAACAAATATTTGATTTTTTTTAATGTCAGCATATTTTTCTAATTTGTATCATAATAGATAAAATTATTCCTAATTGTTCAGAAATATTAATTAATTTTTATATTTGTTGTATTAAACAATCGAACGTTTTTTATTTAATAAAAAATTATATTTATGTTCCTGCTTATTTTCAATCTAAACACGCATGACTGTTGTCAATTTTTTATTCGTTGCAGTTTTAGATTTTCCGGAAGGTGATTCATTCGAAGACATCGCCGAATCCGTCGACGAATTGCGTGAAAAATTGGCGAATATGAAGAGATTAATGGAGGAACGTAAGGGAACGACTCTGGGGGAAATTAGTGCACGTAAAAGGAAAGAAGCTTCGGATATAATAGACGGAAATTTTCTTTCTTGGATTTTTGGTTCTGCACTAGTTGTCATATTGAGCGTTAGCTTTTACGCTTTTTATAATCTTTATCATGCGGTACTCAAAAAATTCCCTTCGCATCATACAGAGTTGTAAGAAAAGAAAAAGAAAAAAAGATTTACAAAATATAGAAAAGAAAAAAAAAGAGAAAGTAAGAAAAAACAGTAAAACACCCGTCGAATGATCCGTTCGAACGGTAATTGTCTGTTCACTTTTTAATTTCCCTTTAATTGTATTTAATTACAACGACGTTAAAATCGCGACAAACGATAACGAGATTTCTTTTTCTATCGATTTTCTATCCTTTCAGAAGACACGATACAAAAGAGAAACCGAAATGGCTAACATAACTCATCCCCAGAAGAAACATCGTACTCTGGTGTAATATGTTTTGTCCGGTTTACGATGTAATCGTGACTAACAGACCGACGAGATCTCTAATTTCAATTATTTTAATTATCAGTAAGAAAGTTGAAACAATATTGAGGCGACACGTGATATTTTTGTCGATGAAATTTTCTATTATAAAAAAAAAAAAGAAAACGTGCATTTCATTTTGATCAAAATTATACACGTATGCATTACGATTCTCTAATTTTTGGTTATTATTATTATTATTATTATTACTATTATTATTATTATTATTAGAGACATTAATTGAATAAATGATTTGAAAATTATGCGTAAAACACTGACACATTAAAAGGAAAAATTAGGAAGAAGAAAAAATAATAATTGGCAAAATATCGAAAAAAACGAGAAAGTGCCTTAATATGTCGTTCCGCATAATTTCTACCCCAATGTACAAAACGTGTAATCAATATTATATAAAATTGACCAGTCAATTGTTAATTGTTTGTTAAATGTTAATTTGTTTAATTCGTTGTTAACGCATTTATAAATTTTACGATACAGCGAAAATAATATTTATAATTAAAAATCGTTGAGTATTACGTGTTCACCTCAAAATGAATTCGAATGGAATTCGTTCCATTACTCGATTATTTCTTAAGCACATAAATTATAATCTCGATAATTATATAAATAGCATTTCTTTTGCGTTGCAATATTTCATTGTAATCGAACCGTATAAAAATAATTATTCCAAATGTATATACAGAGTTAATAGAAAAATAAAAGATCTCAATATTTAATAATTATTGATCATTATCGATATTAGAAATAATTTGATTACAGAAAAGAGACATCAAAAATGAAGTCCAGAAACCAATAGTATTTTATCTGGAAATATTTTCCTACGTATTTCGTAATCGAAAATGCACTGAAGTTTTATTTAAAGAAAATAAGGATTTCTCGTAGCCGGAAACTATATAAAAAAAAATAAATTATATAGATAAGAAACGAATATTAAAATTCATTTTAAAAAGATTTATGTCGATGTACCGCATCCTGATCCTTTGTTTTCCAGATCTTTGGTGAAGTGTACGAGCATTGTTTCGTACTCCTCTTGCTGCTAAAATAACGACATCACAAGTGTATCATTTTATATTTTTTTTAACAGATGATTTTTTATTATGCATATTTAAATTTAATTTGGAATACCTTAACAGCCTCTTTCTTTAATTCCTCTCGTCGAAGAGACAAATTGGAAACCTGACTTTGCAAAGATTTCACCTAATAATAAAATCATGTTTATATGAGATATTAATAAGATATTTAAAAATATTCATAAAAGGAAAAAAAACAAACCTCTTCTTCGGTTTTATGGACATCTAATTTAAGATCGCTTATTAAAGATTTGTAACGATTTCGACAAGTTGAGGTTTTACTTTCTATATCGTTCAACGCATTTTCTACGCTTTTAATCTTATACTGCGATTGTTTTAGCTATATTTTATCCCATTTTATGAGAGAAAAAAATAAAATTATCAGTGAAATATTCATGAAAAAAAGTATACGATATAAAAAAAATTACGAATTATTTATAGAACATATATTATCAAATTATTTAGATCTAACCATACGTTCCTTCTTTGTAAGTTTGTCAGAAAGCGTTTGAAGTTTTATATCCATGTTTTCTTCATTCTAAGTGCATTGTCATTCATAAAGATATATTAAATAATTAAAAGTTGATATATACAAAAATATATTTTATTAAAAATCAAAATAATCTGTAATAATAAATTACTTTATTAAACGTAGTAATGACAATGTTTTTTCCTTCGTCCAAAATCTATAATGAAATGATAATACAAAAAAATAATTAATAAATGTATATATGCATACTCTCGGTGCTCTAGTTTTCTTCACCAAATTTTACCAGCATATTTTTTAAGTCAATATAAGATAACGTTTATATATATATAACATTTATTTCTTATTTTTAATTATAGAATGTAGTGGTAAAATTTTGCGGAAAAACACCTGGAACACTCCAGTATATAACGCGTAGAATATTTTATATTGTATCCTTTTTGAAAATTTTAAATACTAACACGTTTCTTTAATTTTTCTCTGTCATCGTCATTCTGAAATTAAATGGTTAAAGGTTCAATTTATTTCAAATAAATTCAACAATATTATAATTTTGCTATTATAGTCTTACTGAGATTATAATAAAAACAGTAATGTACAATACAACGAACAGAAAAATCCATGATGTTTTTGATAGAAAAAATGTTAATACAGCTGTCCACATGGCTTTATAAATTTAAACATTAATATTCTAACCAAATCATATCGTATTTGAAAGGAATTTCACTAAATGACATTAACAAAACTATCAAATGAAACTTATTTATAATAATTAATCAAAAGAAGATCAAAATAAAAGATATTGATTCGAAAATCGAGACAATCGATTCAAATTAATCGACATTTTCCCGGGCTCGTTCGAACAGTGGACACGGAATAAATCATACGACGTACCGTGATTATTTTTTTTTTATAAAAGAAAATAAGTATTCTGTTTAAAAACTTGTTACAAAAATTATAATAATTTTAATCAACGTTAAATTGTGTTTCACGTTATACGAAAAGTTATTTTTCCTAGATTTAGGTAAAACATTAAATTTTTATTTGGAATTAATCTTTCTTGTTTTGATATTCTTCCCTTGTCCAAAATAGATGTTCAATTTTAGATTTAAACAAACTGTTGCTAAATTATTTCTTTACACGAATTTACAATTGTATAAGTTTTAAATGACACCACCACGTAGTCATTTAATATTTCTAATCGACGAAGTATTCTATACATGTCAAGCCTCTGAATAGACTTTGAAATTTAACATATCATTTTTTAATAAACCATTTAAATTAACGTTAAGCAGAAATAAAGTTGATGTTAAGTCATCTTCGTAAAATATGTATTCGCGTATTGTTATTAAAAAGGAAAGATACAAGAAAGAATAGAAAATATTATTCATGCTTAACCAATAAAAATGGAGTCTACAGATATAAAAAAGTTACTTACGTTAGCCACGATGCTAATAATCCTAGAAATTACTTAAATTATCCTAGTGAAAATGTTGCTTTGCCATCTCAATCGCAGATCGTTATTGCAGGTGCGGGAACAGTTGCTAATTCTGTTGCTTATCATCTTGTCCTTAATGGGTGGAACGATGTTCTGGTACTGGAACAAAACAGGTCATTTCAATCTAATCAATTAGTTTTGTTATTTCATATTTCATTATTTACAAACCAAATTATTACTGTATTTTGTATGCTTACAGGATTGGTAGCGGGACATCACATTTTGGATCCGGAACACTTGGTTTATTCAAACCCATTTCTCACAGAAACTTGATATCTTACAGTATTAAATTATATCAGAAATTACAAGAAATGGGATATGATATTGGATTGAAACAATGCGGGAGCATAAATTTAGCACAAACTAAAGATAGAATAATAGCTTTAAAAAGGAGAATGGCATACAATGTTCCAACCGGTTTGCATTGTGAGGTAAATATCATTTATATATGATATACAATATGATATACAATATATTATACAATTAACGCAGATAATTAAGAATTACTGCACACAGATTTTAGATAAAGACCATCTGAAACAATTGCATCCATACCTGCATGTAAATGATATCGAAGGAGCTATTTGGGTACCAGAAGATGCAGTAGCAGATCCTAGTACTATTTGTGAAATTTTAGCTAAATTAGCCAAACAGGGAGGAGCAAAATATATTGAAAATTGTCGCGTAGAGCAAGTCTACACTAAAAATAAAGCTGTACAAAGTGTGCGAACTAATCAAGGCATGGTCATATGCGAATATTTCATTAATTGTGCAGGAATGGTAAAACAGATGATATTTATTCATTTAATTAAAACGTTGCAATTGACATTTACTTTACGATGTTAATCTTAACAATATAGTGGGCTCGAGAATTAGGTTTAAAATGTAATCCACCTGTTAGAATACCAGCATATCCTGCAGAACATTTCTACGCTATTACACCTCCTCTATCACCAGAATTGAAAATGAATCTACCATGCGTTAGAGATTTTGATTCGTATTCGTATATGAGAGAATGGCAAGGTATATTTTGTATAATTCAATTGACATAATTAATGAGGATGATAATATTATTATTATAATATATTGTAATTTAAATGTGTGAAATCAAAATATGAAGTAAAGTTATTTCATATAAAACAGGAGGTTTATTGATTGGTTGGTTCGAAGCTGAAGCTAAGCCTGCATTTGGAACTGGATTAGTTTCATCTAAAGACTGGAGGCAATATGTAAAAGATGATCCTAGTCATTGGAAACCTCTTTGGGATAAGGTTTTACATAGAATACCAATTTTGAAAAGTTTACCGAAACCAAATGTATATAATTATCCAGATAATTTTACTCCAGATGGTAGATGGATTTTAGGTGAAAGTCCTGAAGTGAAAAACTACTTTGTTGCTGTGGGAATGAATGGAAATTCGCTCCAAGGTAAACTGTATACGTAATCTTTGATATTTATAAGCATTTTACCAACTTTAACGATTCGTTTAATTTTGCAAGGAGCGGGAGGTATTGGAAAAGAAGTTGCCGAATGCTTAATAAATGGTGAATCTACCCAAGAACTCCTTCCGTTTAACGTGCAAAGATTTTTAGATCTGCATAATAATAAACAGTATTTGCAGCAAAGAATTAAGGAAGTAGTTGGACGAAATTACGCTATACTCTATCCTCATCAAAGCGAATACAAATATGCTCGTAAATTACGTTGTTCACCACTGTATTCTGTTCTCGAGGAACGCGGGGCCATATTTGGTGTTAAAATGGCATACGAACGACCACTTTATTTTAATTCGAACTACGTTCGTGAGTAAATGTTTTTTTTTATTTTTGTTATGTTAATGCATACAGAGTAGTTTGTTTTATTCAATTATACTACTTCGAAAGGAGGACAAAAGAAACCAGTTATGCCATCAGGGAGTTTTTATAAACCTAAATTTTTTGACTTCATGAAGGAAGAGTTTCAAGCATGTCGAGAGGGTGTAGGAATAATAGATATGAGCTCATTCTCTAAAATTGAAATTAAAGTAAGTTCAGAAAACTTATTAAAATACATTTCTTCCTATTTATGTCAAATTTTAAATGTTCCCAATTTAATTAATTATAGTCTAGTCGTTTGGAAGTAGTAAATTACCTTCAAAAATTGTGTTCCAATAATGCAAACATACCAATCGGCGGGATAGTACACACAGGTATGCAAAATGAAAGAGGTGGCTATGAAAATGATTGTATGCTAGTTCGACAAGCAGAAAATAGTTACTTTATGGTTTCGCCCACTTCACAACAAACGCGTATTTATCAATGGATGTCCAGGTAATTAATAATATTTGAAATCATGTTTTATTGATTTCAGTATAATCTGCACATGCATAGATATAACATTATTGAGTATAACTTAATTAGTAAGATTTGATATATAATCTATCTTATTATTACTATAATAACAATAATTTACTTTGAGGATGTATATTCTTTAAATACATAGGCATTTACCGCATGATCATTCTGTTGGTCTTAATGATGTGACTTCAAAATATACAGTTATTAATATGGTAGGACCTAAATCTACTGAATTACTGTCAGAACTTTCTAATTCAGATATTAATCTATTCCCTTTCACATACAAGGTATTTAGAACTTATTGGTGGAACAATAAGTACCAAATTTATTTTAGCTATGTAGATATATAAATCTAAAAATTGTACTTCCATTATACAGACGGTAAATGTAGCATATGCCTCAGATGTAATGGTCATGGCATTTACACATACTGGTGAATCTGGATATTGTTTATATATACCTTCAGAATATGCACTGCATGTGTACTCAACGTTAATGGAGATTGGGAAAGATTATGGAGTGCGCGACGTCGGTGTGCTTACACAACGCTTCATGAGAATAGAACGTTTTATTCCTTTTTGGGCAGAAGAGTTAACTCCGTTCGTTACACCCTATGAAGCTGGATGCGGATATAGCATTAAATTGGATGTAAGTAAATACATTTATTTGTCAAATGATATTAAATGTGGCATTTAAAAATTTTCTTTTTCTTTCCATTTTCTTTCCATTTTAAAGAAAGAATATTTTATTGGAAAGTTTGCACTACAACGTCAGAAGGAAGTAGGTGTCACCAAAAGATTAGTATTATTTATGCTCAATGAACTCGATGTAAATAAAAATATATGGGCATGGGGCGGGGAACCGATATATCGAAATGGTGAATTTGTTGGAACCATTACATCCGTGGGGTAAAAATTTGTAATAAGTTCAAATGCACGCAAACGATGAATATTTTTTTTATATTTTACTCGTAATTATTTTATTAATAACATATTAATTTTAATAGGTACGGCTTCGCTACGGAAAAACTTATATGTCTTGGTTTTATCAGTTTACCTGGAATGAAATATTTTCAAAACAGCACAAACGTTGTTACTACGGATTTTATAATGGATCCAACGTCTCATTATGAAATAGATATCGCTGGATGTAGGTTCTCAGCGAAACCTCATATTCATCCCTTGCCAATTCCTGCATTGAACAGTAAACTCAATAAAAAATATATTCCCACACCGGTTACGTCTTATCAAAGCGATATATCGCGATAAAAATACTGCGTATAGTCTTTCTATATATATTTCATTTATAAAAAAAAAATGTAGAAAGTATGTTATGATCTCGTAAGTAAAAAGATGATTTGTGGAGAGAAAGAAAGAAAAAATAAAGTTGCACATTAATTTTCACTCTCCTGTTCTTATTACTTATATTTGTAGTATTTTGTTAGCTACTATAAAATTAAACAGCTAGGTATACAATTTGCACTATACTACTTTCAAGTATATATTTATTTACAAATGTAACTGTGCAAAAAAGAATGGGACGTTATCGGAAACTTGTACATAATCGTTGGTCTGTGAAGCAATAAAAATTCATAATTATAAGTCATTTTCCGTGTATTATTATGTGCTACTTGCAACAAAAATGATGAAATTATAGATTTACAATTTCTATTTGTCTTCGTATATAAATTATTATTATTGTTATTATTATTATTATTATCATATATATGCAGTATTTCCAATCATTTTATTAATCAAATTTATAGTAATTATATCCATATAATAAAACTCTATTTATTATGAACAATATAAATGCTGCAAGCATTTGTTTTTGAAACTATTATTTAAATTATCACTTATATACAAAAGAATGAGCTATCATAGCGATAAGATATATTTATATATATATAAAGGAAAAAACTATAAAGCACATTCCGCTTTAATGTTATAATCACAAGCTATGAATCTATAATAGCAAATTGATTTTATATAGATTTGTGTTTGTTGTTTCTCCTTTTTAACATTTGCATGAAAAAAATAAAAATATAGTAAATAGGAATTTCAAAATAATTGATGGAAAGTACCTATATTAGATGTTGAAGCTATTACTTTGTAAAATCACCAATGTACAGATTAATAATCTGCAGTACTTTTTCTTAGACATCCAACTTAATTACGATGCCCATGCTTCTAATTCCTTTAAATCCTCGTCTTCCTCTGGTTTAGCTTCTGTAAAAAATAAATAGTATTTCAATTATAACATTACATATATGATATTGATAGAATATATAAAAAACTTTTAGATATTTGACTCTTATCACTATATGAATCATTACTTGTACGAGTTCTTGCAGGAGCAGATGGAACAGCTGGAACAGTTGTAGCAGGTATCGCTGGTAATTCATCCGTAGATTCGATGCCAAGTAATTCTTTATCAAGTTGTTCCTGTTCAAGTTCTTCTAGTTCTTTTTCAAGCTCTTCTTCATCTATGTCTTGACCAAATGCTACAGGATTAGATATTGCATCAGAAATTTCTTTAGCAACATCTTGTTGTTCAGCAATATCATCCATCATATCGTGAACTTGATCAACGTCCCTATAATAAAATTAATATAAAGTATCTTTTCACTTGAAAACACAGCTATCTTTAATCATAACACAACATCAATGCATATATGTAAACTGTAAAGCTTAATTAATTAATCGTTCTGATCTGCATGTTTCTAAATAAAAAGAAAATTTAATATATATTACCAAAATACTTATAACAATTAAAATAAATTTCTTACATGTGTTGATGAGCAGATTTTAATGCATCCGCTGCGCTTTTCATGGTGGTAAGTACTGCAGTATTTGTGTTGGCACTTTCCAGAGCTTCTCTTTGCATTTCAATCGTTGACAAAGTACCATCAATTTGTTGTAGCTGCTTTTCATAACGCTTTTTTCTTTTAAGGGCTTGGATAGCCGCTACGAATGACATATGAGTATAGAACATACTTTTCATTATTAATATATCAGATAATTCAAAGTTAATTAAAATAAATATTAAAATAAATAATGTATCTTATATATATATATGATCACATGTGTGCAAATATATATGCATTATTTGAAGTTTAAATAATTGCAATGAAAAATTGGAAAAAACTGAAACTTAACAAAGGTTTTAAAAGATATCACTATGACAGATGACCTTAACCATTAAAATATTACTTTAAATTGATATTAATTTTAATTGTTATAATAAAAGAAAATAAAAACAATCTTGGTATTGAGCTAAAGCAGTAAGTAGACAGTAAAAAATACCTCTCTTGTTCTTCGTTCCATTTTTTTTCGCTGTTTGAATTTCAAGTTCAATTTTGCTTTCAAGAAAATCTTGTTTCTTAATCAGCATATCCTCGGTTTCACGTAATTTTTGAATAGCCTCGGCCGTTGATGGAGCAACTGGTTCTTTTTTACCACCAAATACTTTGCTGAAGAAACTCATTTTGACGTTTTATTGTTTAACTTGAAAATTGCGATAGAAAGGATTACACAGATAACCTCAAAGAAAATATATACTTTAACTAATATCAAAGAAGTATCACCACCGATCGTACCACTATCACCGCCATATTTTCTTAGGCATTTGATTTGACTTGCGTCATGAGTCATCACTAAGTAAATTCATGATTCTCACCTACTTTGTTTTATTATTTTCTTATATTACGATAAAATATTTTATAAATATACTAATTATATTTTATATATCGCATTGTCGATTAATTATGGAAATAATTTCAATTAATACTATAAACAAAAACATTTCCTAAGTGCTTTCTAGCCATTTTTGCCGATTTCAAATGTATTTATAAGCTTAAATTGCCTTTTCTCAAATTCTTCTTTGCATTCTTCACAATTGTTAATTTAAAAAAATCGTATTTTTTATATCTATTTTTTCTTGGTCAATGAAAGTGCAAATTAAAATAATTTTTAAAGATTCTCCTATATACATTCGCTTGTTAACATGTTGCTTATCATTTTAACACTTTTGAATATAGAAATTGAACATTTTGTTAATGTTTAGACCGTTAATTAAAAGCTCTTTCAATAAAATCTTAATGATTATTAACATATTGATTGAAAAGTTTTTTTAAATGAAGAAATCATGTTAAACTGTAATTAATATTAACATTAATTTGCTTTCTTTAAAGAAATCTCAAATGTTATTTTAAAAATAAATGACTTATATAGAGAGATTTCGTTTGATACGTAGGGAATGAAAATATGTTATATCTGGCGACACTGGTTTGCTATTATATTTTTAAAGAAATGTTCAAGAGATTTGTTTGTTTAAAATAACTCACTATATACGCATAAAAAATCAGTATGACGTTGTAAAATCATGTCATCAGTTTATAAATATATATATGTATATATATAATTTCTAAAATATTTTGTTAAAACATTATATATATACATACAATACGTATTTATACATATATACTATATATATATATATATATATATATATAAAAACTACAAATAAAATAGATTTATAAATATATACAAAATATAGGATACCTCACGTGATTGTAATAAAAACAATAAATTAGCTTTCTTGATTTTTTTTTTAACGGCGCTAATTAAATTATTTCATTAAATTCATTTTCATGGATAACAATAGTGAATTGCAAAATGATGTAAGTAATTATACAGTTTTAACTATGTATTTTTGTACGTATTTGAAATGTTGTTGTTTCGTGTTGCGTTCATTTTTATCTTCGTGAACTAGATTTAGCTTGATTGACGTTTCGTAAGACTATTTAAAAATAAATAAAATGTCTCCCCGTGTGTACGCCTTACCGGTCTTTCCTTGATTGTCGGAATTCACTTCCTTAGATTTAAATATTTACGATGAGACTCTCGTGGCGTGATGCAGATCGGGTGAGATTCAAAAACAGTGTCTATATAGAATATGTCTTCAGTAATAAGTTTTTGTGTTTTAATGTAATTAATCATACGCGATAAAATAAAATATCTTTTCAATATTAGATTTAATTTAATTGAGTGATTTTATATTGCGTATATATAAAATTATATCTGTTGTTTATTTCAGTTTGAGTCATATAGTATTTAAATTCCTTAAATTCCTTTAGATTTTGTTATATTATATAATATATTAAATCCTTTTTCTTATTCTAATCTTATTTCTTAACAGGATTTTAGAAAACATTTACCAGGTGGTGAAACAACCGAACATCATCTAACAGAAACTTTGCATTCTGTGAGAACTGATTTTAAACCGCTACCTGGTTTTGATCCAAGCAAGGATGATCTTGAATATTTTCGTGCTCAACAAGGAATCGATTGCGACGAAGTATATCCTGGGATATTTATAGGAGATGCGTTAGTATTTGCATTGGAATTATTGCATTTATAGTTTATATAGATTAGGAGTGAAAAAATGATAACAGTGTGAATTGTATCTATTAGATAATTAAGTTGGAAGAATAATCTCACCTTGCGTATGAAAGGTCTTAGATTTTATTTGATAATTTAAAATGAAAATTTACGAGTCTCTTTTTTACTTACTACATTTTAAAAGGTTTCCCATTGTCTTTTCAAATCGTTGTAACAATAGTACTAAATTTCATGTAACAGAACCACGGCAAAAAATAAAAATTATCTTGCAATGATCGGTATAACACACTTGCTGAATGCTGCGGAAGGAAAGAAATTTGGATTTGTAAATACTGACAGAAATTATTATAGTAATACAAGAATAAAATATCTTGGATTACCGCTAGCTGATCTTCCAACTGTTGATATAAGCAAGTACTTCTACACTGCGGCATCTTTCATCGATGAAGCTGTTTCTAATAATGGTAAATTTTTATACATTTATACATATTTATGTCTATATAGACATGTTGAGATATCAAGTTTTATGATTTTTATTATCTTTATTGCATACGTAATTACTAAAAAATTTCTTAAAGAAAATTTCTACAGTTTGTACTAAGAAGACATGATACACAAAACAAATTTTTTTTTAATCACATCACAAACAAAATAGAATTTTACTTATACATATGAAAGGATCAAGTTGAATTTAAAACATTCCACAATCTTATTATTAAGGAAATTACCAAAGGAATGGTAAGTTATGGAAGACGTTAATGTCTTGTTATAAAAATGCATTGTGAAAATAATTTATTTCATGTGTATCATCTAAAAACTATATACAATTTTGTTCCAAGTTTTTTTTTATTAATTGCATGCATAAAAAAGATAATTAAAGTCATGCATTAACTGTTACCCGCAAATATATATTACTATTGTATCACCTGGAAAAATTGCTTCGTTTTTAATATAAGAAATTGATTCTATATAAAAGTGGAATAAATTTTCCAGACGATCCAATAATATTACCTTTTCAAATATCTAACGCACGCATGTGTGTGCGTGATCATGTAATAAGTATCTTTTAATCATGCCATACGCATATATATTAGGTAAAGTTTTTGTACACTGTATGGTGGGAGTATCTCGCAGTGCAACGTGCGTCTTAGCATACTTGATGATAAAGAAGAATATGTTGGCTGTTGATGCGATAAGGATAGTCCGTGAAAAACGCGATATACATCCAAATTATGGATTTCGCAGCCAATTAGCTCAACTGGATAATCAACTGCGTCGACAACGTTTGTAATAAAAAGAACAAATTTTAATTAACAAATATATCTATAGTATTATAACATTATGTGGATTAAATATGATTGTAGGTACGCGGTTCCAATGTATCATACGTTTCTTGTAATATGATTCTTAAATCGTACTTATATCTTATAATAAATAATAATCAATAATCCCAAATATATGTCTAATGTTAATGCTTGCTTCAAAAGTAAAATTGATTTCCTTTTCTGTATGTTTTACAATATTATAACACATTATTATGATTTTTATTATGATTCGGATATTTCTTATAGTATGAAACGTTTTATATCAAATTCTTAGATATAAAATTGTAAAAAAAATTATATAATATTTTATTGAAATACAATATAGGACTAATCTCATATAAAAAAGAAACATTATTTAAAATCTCTATTGTATAAGAGTAGAATAAAAATTAAAATGATCTTATTTCTAAATCTAATAAAAAAATTACGTATCGTTAGTGTGATCTCTCTACAAGAATATACAATTCTAAAATGTACCTCGTAATATTAAGAACTTCACTGTTAGTACTGTTTAAAATAGACACAGTAAAAATATTTGATCGAAAATTACATAAATTAAATATAATCTCTTGAAGTAATACTATTATATGAAGAATCATAGTATACTAAAGTTTGAAGAAAATCTTCCTTTTCATAAAAATCACTTAATTTATTATTCGTGGCCTTTTATTATGTAATTCTAAACTGTGATTTGTTAAACTTATTTGACTATCTACTTCGTCTAGTCCACTACGTTTTCTTGCTTTTGGTGATGATTGTTTTAGGCATTCCATATCATTAAATACTACTTGAGCTCCTCCGCCAGAAGTTGGTAAAATATCTCCCTTAAAAAGTTTGGTTTCAAGTTCTCCATCAGTATCATGTTCTTGTGCGACTAGGCAATACCTAGACGCACCATCTGTAATTTCTTTTGGACTCGTAAGTCGGGTAACACTTCGTCTTCTACGCATTAGTGGTTGGAGGACAGTACCAAGAGGAGCAAGTGCTCCAGGTCTATGATCAATCCACCTATCTGCGCTTTGAGAACGTCTATACCTTACATTTGATATCATTGTTTTATCTTTCCGTGATCTTCCTTCTGTAAAAGGTACTAACCTTTTCGTAATATCTGCTACACGAACAGGCGTAACAGGTGGTACATCCTTGGATAAAATATTTTCTGAATTAACGTTTTCGTCAACTAAAATTTGTTTAACTAATCTCAATTTGTCATCTTGGGCTTTCATTTGATTCTGAAGTTGTTCACGTTGTTGACGAAGTTTTACTTCTAATTCTTTATTCATCTTATCCGTCTCTACCTGTATCTTAGTATTATATTTTTGTTTGGCTCTTTGTTTATCTATCAAACGTTGATTTAATACCATGTCTCTATTTTTTACTTCCTGTTGCATAGTTTTTATCGTTTCATTTGCACTGTTTAATTTGCAAATCAAACTATCGATTTGCGCTTCCGTTTTCCCAAGATGACCTTCCAAAGCTACAATCTTTTTCTTTTGCTGCGCGTTCGTAGCTTTCAATGAAGCATTATCTACTTTTAAACTAATATTTTCTTTTTCCATCGATGAAAGCATTTTTCTGAATTCATTTTCTATAAAAAAGATACAATCAAATAGAATGTATTTTTAAAAAATATCTATTAGTTTTTCCTTTATATATATAAAACTACATATAATTAAAATAAATGTCTTACGCTTTTGTTGTAAATCAGTCCGTAACATATTTCGTTTGTTTATTCTTTGCTCCAAGAAGTGCATTAAATTTGTTATGATTTGATCATTGTGTGGATTATTCATTTCTAATTCAGGGAATGGTCCACCCAAGCTAAAAACACACACAAAACAAGAAATAATAATAAAACAATTAAAGAAAATAAAACAACTAAAATTAATTAATAATTGCATTGAGAACAAATTATGAAATTTACCTGTACACTAAACCAATATCAATTTCTAAACCATTAACTTCTACACGGCCTTCTTTTTCCAATCTATTTTTTGCTTCTTTAAATATCTACCAAAATAATTATTTCATTAACAATATTAATAATCTATCAAATATTAATCTTAAATTCTGTTTGTTACATACTTTATTTGCTTGTCTTCTTCCAGGTGTATAACCAAGATCGATTTTATTAACCGTGGGCCTTGCTACTTGTACTTCTTGAGTTACTTCAGCAAATTTCATCACTTGCTGCACAGATATAATATTATCAAGCAATTAAAACAAACTTTGACATTATACAAACGCACATATGTATGCACTATTATTATTACTACATAACGTACAATAGTCTCATCATAATCATCTGCTCTTGGATTAACGCAAACAATCATCCTAACTTGTCCTTCCCCATCGAAGTAATTTTTAAATAAATGCGTAAGTTTAGAATCTCTATACGGCACCATCTTGTTAGTTCCTTGTATTTGATTCTCTCTTAAGATTTCCATACAAGATCGAAGAGTCATCAACGAATTATTTATATTTCCTGTTTGCAAATTATATACATATATGTATAATAGATTTTGTATATAGAAATATATTTTAACATGTTAGGCGCCAAATCTCATAGGAACCGACATGAGGTTTAACATGCTAAGAGAGAATTAAAAAATTATATTAACTATATACCTGCTTCTCTCAATCGTTGCCCTGTATTCTTAGTACGATTTGTACGTTCACTCCCAGCTAAATCAACTAATGATAGTTGGCTTATCCATACAACACGTTTGTCTTGCGTAACTTGCTCACCATCGCTATCTAAAGGTGCCTATTTACTGATATATTAGATTCACGAGTATAAGAGATAATATATGTGTATATACATATACACATACTTGTAAAAAATATGTATAAAATATTACCTGTACAAGACGAATAGTAAATGTGCTGTGAGATCTACTTGATTCTGCGTTAAGAGCAGTATGAGCAACACGTCTTTTTCGTTGACCACGATGAAACACTTCGAATGCTTCCTCTGAACTTTTCACTTCCACTTCAGTGACGGCATGAACGTACATGTTTTTATTACCATCTTCTCTTACAATTTTACTCTGTAATGTTCTAAATATTGCAACAAAGTATTAATGAATAATATACAATATACAGTATTATAATTTTGTTCAATAAAAAATTATATTCAATGATTTACTGAACATTGAACATACTTAGTTCTAACATCATCATCATCCAACAAATCATATACACTATTGTTATATATTTCAACATATGTAACAAACACAGCATATGCATTGTCTTGCTCGATAGGAAGAACTTGGATTTCATTACATCCACGAATTATAGCAGGATTACTATCGCTGTCACTTTCCACTTTACGTCTAATAAAAAATAATTAATATAAATATATTTTGAATCCTCGAATATATATATATATATATATTGTAATATAGTGGATGATTGGTTAATAAACATAATCCGTTCAAAGACTATGTTCACGATACGAATTTTTCGTTAACTAATTATAATTTGGCTATTTCATTTGACTTACAGTTTTCCAGATTTACTGCTTTTCTGAGACATAAGTCCAGCATGTATTTCGCTTTGTCGATCTAACATCGCATCTGCTTCACTTTGCACATCAAAACCATTGAGTTTATCAGGTTTAAATACAAATTTCTTAGTTTGATAATTTATAATACTGTTAAATATAACATCAAAACAACGAGGCATAATCCCATCTTGAGAAGTATCTCCAGTCATAGTATACGTTTTACCACTACCAGTTACCCCATATGTAAACAATAAACCATTTCTTCCTTGTATAAGATTTTCAACCAAAGGTAATGCTACCGTATCAAATATTTCCTTTTGTGTAGCATCTGGTGGAAACACACGAGTAAATGTCGTTTGTATTTCCTTATTAGTGGTATTACGAAAATTAACTGCAGATTCTGGTGGTGTGATTACTATTGTTGAATCTGATACAACTCTCATACACGATACATCATTAGGAAATTGCATAGGTTTTAAACGGCAGTATACTTGAACAGGATCTTTGTATGATGTGTTAGCACCTCTTATGCGATTAATCGCTTTTCGGGATGACCCTAACATTTTTCCACGTCTAAAATAATAAACGTATAAACAAAACAACTATAATGAAATATCTTTGTGTTGTTCTTGGATCATTATTTTAATAATAGAAACAAAATTGATAAAACATATGATATCCAATATTCTAATGTCAATTTTGTTAAACAAATACATATTGCATACGACAAAGAATTTATTCAAATATATAATATACTATGAATATACTGATTAACTTACGAAGATTTCATTGTGCTTTAGATATAATTAATCTTTTCAATTATTCTTGAAAATATGTCAAAAAGCCTGTGTGTTCTTCCTTAGATTTCTGTTCTTATTTTCCTTTGGTCTCACTGAACTATACTTCTAACAATTACTATTTACAAAATAATATTTATTTCGACAAATATATATAAAAACACATTATTATTACAAAAATATTTATAAAACCTACTTGACTGATCAGTCAGACAATTTTCCAACTGTAAACTGTTTCAAATATTTAAATTTTAAGTGGGTAGTGTTTTCAATACCGGTAACGGTCATTTGTAAATTTACCCTAACGTAAGATATCAAATACAATTTTTATTTCTTTTATCCGCTTATAATATATGATTATTAACAGATATTTAATATTTTTTATTAAAAATATTAAATTAAAGGTTTTTTTATACCTAGTAACAATTATTAGAAATTCATCCCATAAAAAGAATAGACCAATGAAAAATTGTAGATAAAACAAATATAGGTTACCGTGAAGCTGGATTGGCCAATCAGAATCTGTATTGTTATTCATTTTCGAAAAGGTGCAGATGTAAATTATATATTGCACAATACAAAAATTTAATTTATTTAATAAAATATTATACGACGGTGGGTTGAAAAGTTTTGGGTTTATTCTTTTAATTTAAATATTAAAATTAAAGTAATTATACATAAAGATATAATTAGCTATTATTATTATATGATAGTGATAGTGGTGTGCATAAGTAAATATTTTATATGTAACAAAAATTTCAGTAGAAGTTATTTATTTTTGTTTACAATTCTATAAAAAAAAAAAAAAAGATTACTTCTTAGTTTTTTTGTCTTTGCCAATCTTGGTAACATCATCAGGATTCTCTGTAGCATCTTTAACGCGCTTTGCTCTTATTCCCACTAATCTAGCATCTGCTCTAGCTTTACGTAATGTTATATATGCAGAGAATTTCTTTTCATCTTCGCTAATAACATGTTTTTTCACTTTCATAGCTGGTTGACGTTGAATAGGTATAATTTCTCCTAACATTTGGTTAACCGTTTTCATTTCTTCCTCGGTTGCATCACCCTTCTTAGGCTATTAATTGATAAAAATAGAATATTATTATTATATTTAGTGAAGATCTGGGCAATTGAACTTTTTAATTGGTTTTTACTTTTATCGCCTCAGTAGACTTTTTATATAAAAGTACGAATAAAAAAAAACAGTAGTATAAATAAATAAAGATAATAAAATAGAAGATTTAAATAGTAACCACGAGTGTAGTAGCTTGTAGGTGCATAGCTGCCCAAGTTGCAGTAAGCATAGCTATTTAAAATACATTACGTTATCAAGTATATCAAGTATATATCATAAATATATAACATACAAATACACTAAGTGATTAGTTAACAAACATGATCCATTCAAAGCCAATGTTCGTTACCTGATCACATACTGTACAACTCTATAAAGCTTACACACATCGATACTTCTTCTCATGTTTGTTCTGTGAGGTGTTCGTTATCCGAACATAAAAGGCTTTAGCAAATATTTCAATAAAAATATTTTATATTAATAAACATACCTTCTTTTCATTTATGGGGAAGAGGATTAATTTGTTTTTATATTCTTTCAGCCTCTGAGCATTTACTTGCAAAGATTCAATGGATTTATTGCGTCTTCTTGGGTCGACAGCAATTCCAATTGTTCTAGCATATCTCTTGTTTAAACCAGAAGCTTTAAGTTCTTGAAGAGTAAAACCTTTGCCAGCCCTAACTTTAGTGTGATAGCGGAATGTTGGGCAATGCACAATAGGTCTTAAAAGCTTGACAGGCCTAAAATACATATATAAATTGTTAAAATACCCACAATATTTTTCACAAATAGTCATTTATCATCAAAAATTTGTTCTTTTTTCATACTAAACAAAACCAATTAAATAGAGCAAATAAGCATACAAAATATAACTGTAATATTGTTGATTATAGTATGTGGTGTTTAATGTATTAAATGACAAAATATTAATAACATTTTATTAATATATCTCGTATTATTGTAAACTAGAGATAATACTCAATACGATAAATAAATGAATATTATTTTTCATCATTGTGAACAAAATTTCGGTGTGAAAATAAAAATTCTATACTATTCAAATATTAGTTACAGTAATAGTAATTGTATATTATATGATATAACATTAAACTATCGATAATTACCTTGGTGCAACTGCACGAGCTTTCTTTATTCGATTTTGTCTACGACGGTATTTTCTTGCAGGTTGATTAAACCAAGTTTTAACAAACCGTTGCCAATCCTTATGGAAGTGCCCATTAGGGATCATATTATTACGTTTCCCCATTGTGAAACTGTAATTGTTGAAAATATTGAGATTAATGTTATGACAGGAATATGTTTCTTCTATACAATATTGCTTAATTAGTTATTAATAAAACGATAAACAATTACTGTATATCGAACATACATGCATATCAATATTAAATTTGTTGAATGCTAAAACACATCTGTATATACATATAATTTCAAAATGAAGTAAAAAATATAAAACAAAAAATACTTGAAATGTATATATGTTAATATGAAAAATTTTTTTACTCTATTACAAATTAATTATAATTATAATTATAATAGTAATTACAATATGCATTAGTATTCCTAACCTTTCTCTCAATGATTAATACACAACACGAAAGTACAATATTTTGAAATTAAACATATATACATATACGTAGATGAATAAATATATTATTATAAAAAATAAAAAGAAAATGTTGAAAATAACTCTTTTTATATAAAGTATTAAAAAATTATCAGATGCTTACATTTAAGAAAGATTCAATATATGAGCAAATTTTCACTTCTTCTTCCATATAATCCACATCCGGAAAAGGAACTTTCGATGAAAGAGTCTATACTTTTCCAAACTGAAATAAACATTCTTATTACAATTATACATTCTAATTTTATAAATTAAAAAAAAATACATTAGTTATATAAATATTGGGTTATAAGTTCTTACAGGCTTATTAATTATTTAATTTATTATGTTATGAATATAAAGATTAATTTGATTAGAGTTGTTTAGTAACATTAGTTATGAAGTTAAAGGTGGGTGGAATTCATTTGACGCATGCGCTCATGTTATTTTATTGTCGCGTGAATAGAGATGCTAGTTAGATCATCAAACGCTGTGGCGCTTAGGTCAGCCGCAATTCCACAAGACAATTTTTCTTAGTCGGTGTTCTGTTATATTATGTTATGTATATATGGTTATAGATATATATATATATATAGGTTATATATATGATGTAAAGAGACTTCACTTTATTGATATTAAATTATATTAAAATAAGTTTTGATAGGGCTACAATTATCATTTAATACTAATTGGAAAGTTAAAAAAACAAAACATGAAGTACGGTTTTATAAATTTATTAAAACCGATTTTAAAAAATCGAGATGAATACTTTTTTAAAAAATTTATAAAAAGACTAGCCTCTACTGGTATTTGTTCATTGAAGGTAATATTAAAATTCTTTTACATCTTTTAATTTACATTTATTGCTCTATAACTTATATTTAAATTTTATTTAAATAGTAAAATATGTGTTAGTTTTATAATTTATATTTAAAATTTCAATGCATATAGTTTTTAGGATGACAATCTTGATATAAATACGAAAAATAAAATAGAGTTACATTGGAAGAAGAAAGTTAATTTCGATTTATATGATGAAAATGATGACAAAAAGGATAAGTTTTATGTTCTTTCCATGTTTCCTTATCCTTCTGGAAATCTTCATATGGGCCATGTCAGAGTTTATACCATCAGTGATGTTATAGCACGTTTTTATAAAATGGCAGGTAAGATAAATAAAGATATTATCAAATTGTCATTTTTCATAATAAAAAAATATTAAATTAGTAATGAGAGAAATGAGAGAACGCATCTAAAGTGGCAGAGTGTGTATAGAACACATTGACATCCTGTATAAATAATAATTAAGAACTGATAATGACACTTAATATTTATTTTAGGTAAAAATGTGATTCATCCTATGGGATGGGATGCATTTGGTCTACCTGCTGAAAATGCAGCTATTGAACAACAAATTGACCCTAGCAAATGGACTAGGAGTAATATAAATACAATGCGCAAGCAATTAAATGCTCTTAATTTTTCATTCGATTGGAACCGAGAAATTTCGACTTGCGATCCTGAATATTATAGATGGACTCAAGAATTATTTTTAAAACTTCTTGAAAAAGGTTTAGTTTATCGAAAAGAAGAATATGTTAATTGGGATCCTATTGACAAAACTGTACTAGCAGAAGAACAAGTTGATGTAAATAATAAGTCTTGGAGGTCTGGAGCTACAGTAGAAAAGAAATTATTAAATCAGTGGTTTATCAGAACTACAGCTTTCGCAAAGTATGTTTATAGTAATAACTATTTTAACAGGACAAAAAACAAATTTAATAAAATACAATATTTTTATCATATTATAGATCTTTATTGGATGGATTAAAAGATCCGACATTAAAAGAATGGAAAGATATTATAAAAATTCAACAAAATTGGATAGGTGATTGTAATGGTGTAAGTTTTGACTTCAAATTAGTTTCGGATATTTCTGAATTCCCTAAAATTATAAATCTGTGGACTGATAAGCCAGAATTTATCAAATTTGCAAAATTTGTTGTTATTTCTCCTAGTAACATATTAAATCAACAACAATACGCAGAAAGTGTTAACGCAACGACTAAAAAACTGAAAGCTACTGTAATAAATCCTTTTACTGAAAAAGAATTACCTATATTTATATCAGAAGAATTAGTTTTTCCACAATTAAGAGATAATCATTTAGGTATTCCTTCTGCTTCCATGGAAGATTACAAATTTGCAGAATCTGTGAAAATTCCATTCCAACGACACAATATACGTTCTCATTTAGAACTGCAGAATGAACTTGATGACGTATTAATTAAGGCAAAGAAATGGAATATTGGTGGATATGTAGTAAGTTCTAAATTGAAGGATTGGCTGATTTCTAGACAAAGATATTGGGGCACACCTATTCCAATTGTATATTGTCACAATTGTGGTATTCAACCTGTGCCACGCAGTCAGCTACCTGTTACATTGCCAAACATTAATTTTAACTTAAAAGAAAAAAGTCATTTTACTTTACTCGATGCCAAAGAATGGTTAGAGACTGTGTGTCCAAAATGTGGTAATCATGCAATCAGAGAAACTGATACAATGGATACATTTGTAGATAGTTGTTGGTACTTTTTAAGATACATCGATGCAAAAAATAACGAAAAAATATTTTCTCCGGAAAAAGTCAAAAAATCTTTACCTGTTGATTTATATATAGGCGGAAAGGAACATGGTACGTTCAAATGTTGAATTTGATTGGTTTGTCCATAGCTCACATATTTCTTAATCAATTTTTCATATGATTACAGCTATGCTTCATTTATATTATGCTCGATTTATGAACCACTTTTTATACGAGGAGGGTCTTGTTCCAACACGTGAACCATTTAAGCAACTTCTCGTACAGGGCATGGTAATGGGAAAAACTTATCAAATCTCTGATACTAAACAGTATATAAAAGAAAGTGACGTTATTAAAAATGAAATGGATAACAAGTATACAGAAAAAAGTACTGGAAGACTTGTTACAGTTACTTGGGAGAAAATGTCTAAATCAAAACACAATGGAATTGATCCTCTTGAACTTTTAAAATCCTATGGTATAGATACGACTAGATTATTAATATTGGCTGATGTAGCTCCAACTTCGCATAGAAATTGGTCGACTGACAGTATGTATTTTAAATGGATATTTATATTATTTACTATTATAATTATTATAGATCAAATAATACGATCTTCTCTTAAGATATTTCTAAGCTAGATATTAAAATATATAGTAGAACTCGTTTTATATTATAAAAATGATAAAATTAGTTTGTATATACTTATAATCGCATTTTATTTATGTTTATCAGCTATTCGCGGTATACAAAACTGGCAAAATCGTATATGGAAGATCCTGAAAGAATTTATTAAAATGAGAGAAAATTTATCATTAGAAGAACTTCAGAAAGCACCTATTGATCCTAAATACGTTAAGGATGACGAATACATGTTTGATAGTAGAAATTATTTTCTAAAAACAGTTACTTTTAATATCACAGGATCGCAGCAGATAAGCGTTGCAATATCTAGAATGCAAGGACTTACAAATAGGTAAGTTAATATAAAAATAAAAAGGTTTTAATTATCAAATATAGTATATGAAACATTAATCAATTTTAATTATTATGCTTTGAAATTTTCAGCTTACAAAAAGTATGCAGTGAGTGCAAATTAAAAAGTCGCGAATATGAACGAGCATTAGCTGCACAAATAATTATGCTTGCACCGTTAACTCCACATTTCGCTTCAGAATTATGGACTGCATTTTGTTCTATATCGAATCATCTTATGAATAAAGAGGAAGTTCTATTGGATAAAGATGTATTAGAGCAAAAGTGGCCTGAAATAGATATGGATTATAAAATGGAAATGAAAATTCATGTAAGTTTATTTTATTCTTTTTATATGAAGTGTATATATGTACGTACGCACACACAGATACACATTAGATTAATAAATTTTATAAATTTCAATTTATTCAATATTTTTTTAATCTCAAATAGGTAAATAAAAATTTGATCGGGAAAATAAAAATTCCTCGTTATACTTTGGATAAATTAACTGCGCAGGAAGCTTCAGAATTAATAATAACTGAACCCTTATATAAAAAGTTTATAAAAAACCATACGATCACAGATGTTAAGCTCCTTTCACAGACAGGCTGTGATGCAAATTTGTATGTCAGTACGAATAAAATATCAGAGGAAATTTCAGGTTAATAATTCTGAAATATTTTTGTAATCATATGATAAAAAGAATAAAATAAAACGAGAAGAAAAAGAAGATCAAAGAAAAGAAGAGAAGAGGATCAAATTAATAGTTTTCGAAATTAATTATGAATTACTTTATGCTACTGTTAGTATTTTAATTTTTATAACATTATAATTTAAAAAAAATTAAAAAAAATAGAAAATCAATGTTGTTTTCATATAGTTACTTAAACTACCCGCGAATTTTGCTGTAAATGATACTATTTAAAATATATTTTATTTTGAATAAAGATGAATATATATATATTATATATACATATGCGTGTGTATTATTGTACTCACTATTCCTGTTAAACTGATCGAGTAAGTGGTAATAGTAAGCTCTTATTTACCTACAATCTAGTCAAAGATAGTAGCAGAGAATGCAGAAAGCTCAAAAAAGTTGGCATAGAACCACAACAGCAGAAAAAATGAATAATTAGTAGTGAAAAGAAATAGGTTAATCGTTCATAATGTATAAACAATAGGTAAATATTCTCATTCTTTCATTTTTTTCTGCTGTTGCGATTCTATGCAATGTGGTGAAGTATATAGAAACTCACAAGTCTCCCTTTTTATCTACCCAGCATCATTTTTGTTACCACTAGGACCACCATTGAATGATAGTATAGATTGTATTCTTTGATAATATATATAGCATAGTTATATTGTAAGAAAATTTAAAATAATTGTATAATATTTAATTTTTAATGTCTAAATACGTGTGTGCCTTCAGAAATGCGTTTTTTATACATATATATTTTAAACAAAAGTAGAAGAAAATCAAAACGAGTATGTGATAAATTCATTGCAATCGAATGAATCGAATGCAATTGAATGAATCGAATGCAATTGAATGAATCGAATACAATCTTTTCTATAGATCAACAATTTTGGACTACTCCCTGGTATCTGTAAATACATAAAAGTTATTAAAAAAACATTATAAAGTAATTAGTTTCTGTATATGAAATAGATAAAAGGAACCAAGGAAAGGAATAAAAGAATATGGTATTTATTAGGAAGTTAAAGAAACTAATTACAATTATAATGTTTATGGTAAGCGGTCTTTGACTGGATTTTACTTGCAATGGAATGTACAACATATTAAATATGTTAAACATTATACTGAAAGTAAAACACCATTGCCCAGGTCTAACCGCTTCCGAAGACCCGGGATGTGCATCCTGAAGATGTCCCCATCCGAATTAAATTAAAACCAAAGAAAATGATTACCCCGAGAACGTTTTTTAATGAGCCCCACTCTTAGGCCCCTCCCTAAGAATTACATCTAAGAAACCTCACAATGATTATCGAGAATAAAGAGAAAAGTTTGAATATCGAATAAGAAAATGAAAACGAGGAGTACATCTGAATAAAATTCAAGTTACATCAATGATTTTAGTGAAAACTAATACAGTTAAATATAATTTTAATAATTACACATACCAAGATTATAATTAACGAATATTTTATACATAATAATTTTCAATCTACATAAAAAAAATAAAAATAATACAAAATGTATGCAATTGTGGGTTTTTCCATGGAACCTATGTACAAATAAAATACATTAAGAATAATTATCACACGCGTGCGATGCTACGGGGAGAACAATAAAAAGATTAAAATAATACATCTAATTATACAATTTATTACGTTATACTATCCTTTATTATAACTAAGTCCTCTTCTGGTCCTCCTCTGGTACTCTTCTAATCCACTTCTCCTTCCACTCGAACGGAATAGTTATATGAAACAACAAAGTGATTAAAAATATTCACACACATACACACATTTACTTATAGAAATAATTATTTTCTACTATCATTTAATATAAGTCAGTCCTCCTATGGTTCGTTACCTCCTCCTCTTGAAAAAAATTTTGCATCGTCTCCATAATTCATCCTGCTAATCAAATATTAAAAATAGGATCGTTTGGTGTGGGTGAAATTTTAGGTAAGGACATGATTCTATCTTTAGAGGTAAGATAGAATCAAGGCTCGCGTGGGCAGGGTCGCATCCCTGAAGTAGATCTTTCTTCGCAAAGAAAAAATCTACCCGCTACCCATTGAAAAAAGAGACTGGAAACGCACCTGAAAAAGAAAAAGAAAAGATTAATTTAGATTTGCAAAGATGCAATGAATGCATCGATAACATGTTCCTTTTTTAGATCAAAATCCAATACTTACAAATGCATCATCATGTCCTAAAACGAAATAAAATGAAAATTAATTGAATATATAATATATATATATAATAATTGATTAAATATTAATACCCCTAAAAAAATAAAAGAGACATTAAAAAAAATTATAAGATAATTAGTTTCTATGAATGAAATGAAAAATGAAAAGTGGGGAAACTATGTGTAATAAGAAATTGGAAAATGATATGATATTGGAGCGGGAATTTGAGAATGGTATTGTACTCTATCATGATTTGAAAATATTTTCTGTCTTTTAAATGAAATATCATTTAAAATCAAATTTTATTAATACTCGATTTATTTTTAGGAAAAATTATGTTCGATGTGTAGTGGCTGGTATGGCAAATCCCACGATGGTAACCTGAAACATTCAGCAAACTATGTTAGTTACTTCCATTTTTAAAAAACCACTATAAATTATTGACGAGCAAAGAAAAATTAAACAATAAAAATATGAAATGACCAACGAGCTATTCTCAAAAAGTTCAACCATGCTGTCGAACTTGAAAATAACTCATTAAGTCTGTAGTTGCCCTCTTGAGCCTCTTCTTTCTTCAAGCCTACTGTCGGACATTCCCTACGTGCGAGCATGAAAAGAATCTTTGACCAAAAACGTCAATCGTTCCAAAAAGTATTCGCATAATTT